CCTCCTCCTCCTCCTCCTCCTCCTCCTCTCACTGTGGTTAATCTTACTTGTGATCCAGGCACTATTCTGCACTCAAGTAAGAGTTGTGCAACAGTGGAATCAACTGCCTAGGGAGGTGGTGAGCTCCCCCACACTGGCAGTCTTTAAGCAGTGGCTGGACAAACACTTGTCAGAGATGCTCCAGGCTGACCCTGCATTGAGAGGGGGTTGGACTAGATGGCCTGTACGGCCCTTTCCAACTCTGTGATTCTATGATTCTATGACACCTCATCATTGAATTTAAAAAGTAGGAGAAATTAAAGGGAAAAAATTAACTGAAAGCATATTCATATATTATTCCTACTGATGGAGGTGAAGTGGGTTTTGTTTTAAATTCCCTTCCTGGTATTAGTTCAATAAAGATGACATCAAAGTGTGTGAAAGTAAACTCAGAATGGAGTAACCATGTTTCTACCAATAGGCCAAGAAGATATTTTGAAAGTGTGTTGTCAAACAGAGGGGAAAAAGCCAGGACCAATGCAAAAGATTCATAAAAGGAAGGAAATGTTGTGAAAACACCCTGGGTTTACATTAGGGTTTCTAGCTCCGGGTTGGGAAAATACCTTGAGATTTTGGGGCTGAAGCCTGAGGAAAGGGGATTTGGGGAGGGGAGGGACTTCAGTGGGGTTTAATGCCACAGAGTGTTCTTTCCAAAGCAGCCAGTTTATCCAGGTGAACTGATATCTGTTGCCTAGAGATAAACTGTGATAATGTTTGGGTTGTAGTGGGCGTGGCCAACTCTGAAGCCAGCCGGAACTCTGTTCCTGTGTGTTCCTGCCAAAAAATAGCCCTGCTGCTACATAAATACACCACTGGCTTTATTTCTTTATTGCTCTCTTTTCCCCAATGAAAAGATTATTAAAACTCATTCCATTATATCCTTTGTTTCTTGAGATGTGTTGCAGGCGAACTCTATGAGTGGCCTCCCTCCTCCTCCTTCCCCCCTTTAGACACTGTTTTGTTTAAAATTTTCTGTTTTCCAGATCGAAGCTGTCTGCTTTTCCTCAGTCACCCTCAAGCGTATGGAAATGTTCTGCAATCATCTCTCTTTCTTTACTTCCTTTCCATTCTTCCCTTCAAACATTTGCTTCAAATGGGGTGAAGCAAACGAATCCAGGCAGAGAGCTTGAAGGTGCAGAGAAAAGAAGCTGTAAGGCCGGGGAGAGGGCACGAAACCGAGCTCAAGTAGGAAGGGAATGCAAGTTCATTTTCATATATTAAAACCAAACAGCAACAAAATGTTTATGACATCTCTTTTCTTTGAAGCATGTCTTTATTGGACTATGGGATTTGGGATCAGAAAAGGAACAGTTGTTAGGAGGAAATAAACAGAAAACATCAATAGGAAACATTTAATGAAGTTTGACCATTTTGTGGTCTTGCTGTCCAGGGGCACATTCGTATGACCAACTAAAGCCTAAATAGAGGAGTCACTCCAGGGCTTAGTTCTCGCTTACACTATCAGAGTCTGGGCTGGGTGAGGCTGAATCCAAGATGGGGACAGGTAGACATGCTGAATTTCTATTTGACCCTCACACATTACAGGACTGGAAACCTGGGAAACAGGGTGGCCAGCAGTCCTGAGGAAGAATGTCCTATCCCTTATGTGTGGAAATGGGCAGTTGAAGCTGTCCATGGCATGAAAATTAATGACACCTCCTTGATATTTGATGTGAATCAAATAGATACTAAAGAAACAAGTGAGAGGCCAGTTTGAAAAGTAGCAACCCTACCTGCAAGACTAAAGAACACGAGTCTTCTTTATCAGTGTGGCCTATCTGAACAGGTGTGTCTTAAAGGGACTTTTTGGATTCTGCCTTTCTCCAAAAAACCCTGCAGGTGACACACATGGGTCTCTTCTTTCTGCTCACAAGATCCTGTGTGGTAGTTCAGGCTGTGTGTCCACGACTGGCCCAAGGGCATCCAGTGAGTTTCGTTACTGAGTTCTCCTAGTCCAACACTAAACATCTCTTGCTTTGTTTCCTTTTGCTTTGTGGAGCTCTTCTTCTTGGAGGGATGACTTTCTATCGATGACAACTGTACTCTTAATTCTTATCCCTACTCCTCGTTGCAGCACTAAGGCTTGATGGAGAAACCCTTTGAGTTCCCACCCCCACTTTGCTCAGGCTCAGGATCCATCTGGTTCTTTATCCCAAAGCCGACTTCAGCTCCGCCACTGATCAAAAGGTTTAAACCGGTGCAGAAAGTACCATCTGAAGCAAGGTACAGGGCAGCCAATGCCACTTCTTCTGGGGCCCCCAAACGTCCCATAAGCTGTAAATGTGCAAAACAAGTGAGCTAAATATAATATTCTGTATTCATCACATTTGAGGTAAGATCATGAGGTCTCAGAAGCTACTTGAGAGGGGCAGGATTTCCAGGGTGCAGAATTCTAACTTTCAAGTTTTGTATGCCCAGCCTTTCTTCTTGTTACCATCTTAGATGTGGTAGAAGACAGGTTGACAATTCCAGCTTAGGAGACGTAGAACCAGTGCCTCGGAAGGGCACACTTTGGGGAGGGGAAAGAGCTCAGCAGAGATGCTTCTTCCTATACAGGAGAAGCTGAAGTCTACAAGCATCCACCCTCTGCAGCCACTCCAGGACTTTTGTTTCTCCTACCCTCCAGGGCTGTTGTTTTCACCTGGGCACTGTTGCCAGGAGAATATTTATTTATTTAAAACATTTATTAGCCACCATTCTTCTTTATGGTGCTTGATGGCTTATGATGGATAAAATACATCATAAAGAACACATGATACAAAAAAATAAACCCAGACCAAAATTGAAATTCCTAATTTAGGACTGCAAGCAATGTTCCCTCTAAGCTGTGGAGTCTTGTGAGCAAGAATTCTACTTTGTGAGCTACTGGCATTGAAGTTGTGAACGGGCAATTTCTCTACTGCATAACTTAGTTTGCTCTGGAGCCCTCCTTCCTGAGCTCAGGCAACAATCTGTGAGCTGGAAGCTGAAAAACTATGAGCTAGCTCACACTAACTAGCTTAGAGGGAACATTGACTGCAAGTATTGTAATTGTCTCGACTCCAACGGTCTGGGCCTTTCCCTTGAGCCCCTGCTCGAGCCCCACCCTGAAACTCCCCCACTTACCGTGGCCAACAGCCTCGGGGGGAAGTCTCAGAGCTCTGAAACGGGCGAAGAGACAACTGACCGAGATGAGGGGAACAACGAACACGCTGGCGCAGCTCAGCCCCTTCCCCGCAGAGCACGTCCCCGTGTACGTGGCAAAATGGCGAGCCCCCAGGAGACGCCGCCATTGCCAAGGCCCACAGGGCTATCACACCCTGACACAGGTGGCCGTTCCGTGCCGCCCAGCATGAGCTGGGCAACAGCCTCCACGCCCCCTGCTCCGGGCGGGGTCGAAACGCCCCCGCACCTGGCAGAGCGTCGAAGCTCTTATAAGGAGGCGGAGCCACCTGAGATTGACACCCCGGTGTCCAGTAAGGGGGGGGGTTGGAGAAAAGAATACATGGGGAACAAAAAGGGATACCAGTGAGGAAGGAAGGAGATATAGAGTGGAGAACAAAGACGGGCTGACCAAGAGTCGAAGAGAGAGACGACGAGGCAGACGTCTCCTATGGCTCTCTCCTGGGCGCGGGCTTGCCTTTGGTGACGGAACCAGGTAGCTGGCCCTATTTCTGAGGTCTCCCATTTCTCTTCTAGAAAAGGGGGATGCAATTCTCTGGAACGGTGACTGGAAGTAAAGACGGTGTAATGTACAAAGACGAGCTTTCGTCCCACAAGGGGTGTGTGATGTGGGGGGGCCGGGTAGTGATCCCCTCCCCGCTTCAAGACCGGGTGCTAGCAGCCCTGCACAAGGCACACCCAGGCCTCGTGCAGGCCCTGCCTACGAATGAAGGCCCTGGCCCGGAGTTATGTATGGTGGCCAGGCCTTGATCGGGACATTGAGAGTCAGGTGAAGCAATGCCAGCCCTGTCAGGCCTCCCGGCCAGACCCTCCCAGAGCTCCTGCATGGGCTTGGGAGTCCTCACATAAACCCTGGTCCCGGCTACATCTGGACTTCGCGGGGCCGTTCCAGGGACAAATTTTCTTTATACTGGTCGACGCCTACAGCAAGTGGCTGGAGGTGGTACCCGTACTGTCAACCTCATCCAAGGCGGCGATCCGAGCGATGTGGCGCATCTTCAGCGCCCAGGGCCTCCCGGACACGTTGGTTACGGACAACGGGATGGCCTTCACCTCGAGTGAATTTCAAGAATTCACTAAGTACAACAGGATCTGCCACGTCCGAAGGGCCGCCCTGGATTCCCGCATGAGTGGTCCGAGGTTCCCGGTTGTACGAGGTCTCCTGTGAGGATGGACAGCTACTTCACCGCCACATCGACCAACTACGGCGGAGGGTCCTCCCCAACGATCCCAAGGATCTAGAATTCCCAGAATCGGCTGAAGCGTCCTCCCCAGCTCCCGAGCCGCCGATCCTGGCACCCCTGCCTGAGCCCCTCGCCACAGGGCTCCAAGACAGCACGCCATCCCCGCCACCGGCAGGGCCAACCACGAGCTCCCCGCCAAGGCCCCAGACAACTTCCGCAACCCCGACTCCCGAGCTCCGCCATTCCACAAGAAACAGGACGGCTCCGGCCCGGCCTATCTCCAAGACTATGTGTGTGGGTAGTCTGGACTATGGGGGGAGGGGTGTAATGTACTCCGCCATGGCCACATGCGCAACCGTTGGGCCATGCGGTCAGGCTAACACCAGAGCTTCGCTCCTCAGAGAACAATAGCCCAGCGGATCCTAGCCCGCACCTATCAGAGGCCCAGGTCCGCGGCCGAGAGCCTATGGGACTCTCGGCCACTGTAAATAGCCTATAGTAAAGTAGGGGGTGTGTTTTGGTGGTGGGGTTTCTGGGCATATATACCGGCCTGCGAGCCGGCAGTCCTTGTCGTGTTCCTGCTTAATAAAAGTACTCTTGCTGAAATCACTCAACGCTTCTCAGTACTTTTCAGACTACCTCTTTAAACAGCTGGAGCGCCACAGTAATCAAATGTGGGCATAAATTAAACTGTCTTCTACTACATCCTAAAGATTGAAAGTGAGAGGGCCAGGTGGTTGTCTGAGAGTTGTGGGGCTGCCACTGAAAAGGCCCTCTCTTGTGAACCCATGAAAGGAACTTCTTTGATTGGGGGGCCGTTAGGAGAGCCTCTCCTAAATTCCTGGAAAGGAACATATGGAAGGAGATTCTCCAGTCCAAAGCCAGGAGGATGTTAAAGGTCTAAACAAACACTTTGAACTGAGCTTGGGAGTGGATCGATATACAGTGTTAATGCTGTAGTATTGGGGCGACATGCTCCAAATTGCTAGTCCTGACCAGCAGTCTAGCGTCTTTCTTCAGCACTAGCTGCAGCTTCTGTACACTCTTCAAGGGTAGTCAAAGCTAGGAAAAAGTACTCTGAACCACTGTAGCCTTGTAGTTTTCAAACAGGTCTGCTGTGTCAAATAAGCTGAGAACCTGGCTTTTCAAGGGGAGATTAACTTCCTCCATGACAGGAGAGATCCGAAGGCCATGGTCTATCTTTCTATTAATTCAGAGAACCTCTGTCTTCACTCAGAGTCTCAGAGCTTACAAACTCCTTTTCTCTTCCACTTCCCACAGCAGACACCCTGTAAGGTAGGTGGGGCTGAGAGAGCTCTTTCAAGAACTGCCCTTTCAAGGACAGCTCTTGTCAGAACTATGGCTTACCCAAGGTCATCCAGCAGCTGCAAGTGGAGGAGTGGGGAATCAAACCCGGTTTCCCCAGATTAGAGTCCGCACACGTAACCACTGTGCCAAACTGAAGGATAGAGCTGGGCATCATCCACATATTGTTGACACCACTGCTCAAACTTCCTGATGGCCTCTCCCAGCACTTTCACCTGGAGCTGAGAAGCAACAACCCACCCAAGCACCTTGCCCAAGCATTGAAGACTGAAGGCCAGAAGTTCTCCAACATAGTGAAAGGAAGAGTTGTCCTTCTGGGAGAACTTCAGACCCTGACCCAAAAATGTGTGAATCAAAGGGAGAATCATGGAATAATGATATAACCAATGCAAATGTCCCTGTGAGAAGATAGTGAATCAATAACTAAAGATATTTGTTGATCTATTTGAATAAATGTATATGTAAATATTAAATGCTTTATGTGTGAACACAAACATATCTCTACTCCATTCCAGAACCAATAGTATTTAAATGCAAAATGTCTTTTTCTTGTGTTGAAATTCTTCCAAGCACCATTCAGAGTACTTGGAAGAGTTGATGGATATGCAGTTCAATGGTTGTTCAAATCCAAATGCTGCCACGTTTCCCTTGAGACCTTTCCAATATGATTCAAGTCTCTCAGAAATATAATTCAGAGTCTCCAATTCAATCCAACGAGCAGCTAGCTGGATCAGTTTGTTTCCCTTGATGCTTTCTCAATGTCAGGAAACTGAAGAAAATTAACAAGAACACTGAAATTCATGAATGTATTTTCTTGAGTTGTTTCTTGAGTTGTCATAAATTGTAGGATGGCGTATCTGTTACTTGCAGGAAGGAAGGAAGGAAGGAAGGAAGGAAGGAAGGAAGGAAGGAAGGAAGGAAGGTAGGTGAGGGGGGGGGACATAGACAGACAGTCAGTAAGCCAGACAGACAGGGAGGGAGGGAGGGAGGGGGGGAGGAGGGGAAGAGAAGTCAAAGCTGTTAGATCGCGCTAACAAAGGACTCGTAGAGTGATTCAGCAAGTGATTCAGCTTTATTTAGAAGTAACGAACAAGCACTAACTCAGTAAGAAACCAGAACAAGAAACAGTGGGAGCTTATGCTCCTTTTAAACATAACCGGGCTAATGTAGCCACGCCTATTTACATTTAACAACCAATGAGATTGCTTGGTTAAGGACCAATGGGAGTCTTTCCCTCCTAGGGAATGGTATCGTTCTGATTGGTCGCTGTTACGAAGCGACCAATAGGAAGTTCGCTCAGAGGAGCCCTGGTCTGGCTCGAAGCTTAACAGGGGAGTCCTATGAGGTGATTCATGTAATCATTTCAATACATTACAATTCCTCCCAGCCTTTGTGTTCTGAGGTGGGACTTAGGCGACATGGCCAATGGAAGCTGGGGAAGGTTCTGACGGACACTTCAAGCCTCCAAACACTGTTGGTGCGCATTTTCTCTCCGCTGCATCTGACGCTGCGTGTTACTCAATTATATATATATAAGGGAGATATAAGGGATATATATATATATATGTATGTATGTATGTATGCATGTATGTATGTATGTATGTATGTATGTATGTATGTATGTATGTATATGTATAGGATACTAAAGAGTCTTCAGTCTGTGTGACTTTAAAACTCACACAAGTGAGTCTAATTAGTGGCATTAATAGTTGGTAGCTGCAGTGAGACCTTGCCAACTCTCTCAGAATGGAAGCCGTTTAAGCGAGATAGATTTTTGATTGGTCAAAATACATACACTGTGCATGTTTGGTGCGTGTGTGTTATATTTTGGTTAGAGCTTAAAATGTTATGTTTTGGTTGGAGTTTAAAATGTTCTAGAATAGAGTTTGCTATAGGAATTGTTTACATGAATTGCAGGGTTCTTGTTAGTCTTCTTCAATTTCCCGATTTCCAGAAAACATTGAGGGAAATGAACTGATCCAGCTAGCTGCTCGTTAAATGGGATTGGAGATGCTGAATTATATTTCTGAGAGACTTGAATCATATTGGAAAGGTCTCAAGGGAAACGTTGCAGCATTTGGATTTAAACAACCATTGAACTGCATATCCATCAACTCTGAAGGTTCATACCTACCAAACGGTGCTTGGAAGAATTTCTACAAAAGAAAGAGACATTTGGCATGTAATACTATTGCTTCTGAAATGGAGTAGAGCTATTCTTGTATTAACACATATATGGTTTAATGTTGACATATAAATTTATTCAAATAGATTTGCAAATATCTAGTTATTGATTGCGATGGTTATACCCACCCCAAAAATGGTAACCTTAAGGAGAACCAGTCATCTGCCACAGCACAATTCCGGTTTCCCCACAACACACTTGCCTTACTATCGATGGCTTTGTGCATTGCCGCCTCTGGATTCGGTTTCTGATTTACATCCCTTTCCATCAATGGAGTCAAAATATGACCCGGTGAGATGCTAGGATTCAAAATATTTGGAAATTTAAAAAGGGGCAGGGGTACCATGAAGCATCAAGAAATATGCCCCCTAGTGAATTAGTTTTTGAGGAAGTGTCTTTCTTATCATTAGAGAGAGACCAGCTTCCAATTACATGACAATCTTTGCATTAAGCACACTATATAAACTGATTCATCCCACAATCCTTGGCATGACTATTCATTTATACATCCCAGGAAAATACAGCATGAACTGCAGGGACCAAGATTTCAGTCCACACTGAATCATTTGTTCATGGCACAAGAAAAAGCAGCAGCAAACATCCATTTTTAAAAGCATTTTTAAAGGACCTGTGGGTTAGTTGCACAAGCTGATGGCCTGCAAGGAATCACTGAAAGTAATACCTCCTTCACCAAATCTCCTCCTCCAGGATTCTGTAAGCTCTTTGGGGGAGGACTTAAGCAGCCTCCCGCCCCATTTTTCCTCTTAATTAAGCTGCTCTTTACATTCTGGGCTTCCTGGAGCACATCCGGTTATTTTTCAAGCTGGTTTTCCCCCTTAGTCTCTTGTTTTCTTCTAGTTAGTTGAAAAAGCTGTACTTTCCTGCACACCTGGGGGAGACCCGCTAGTATGGAGACACCCCACATTCTCGACCTGAAGGTGCCCTGGTTTTGGTGCTCTGGTGGTAACTAGGTTGGCCAATGTCAAACACGGCACCTGGAGATCTCCCACTGTCACACTTCATCTCCAGATGACCAGGATCAGTTCCCCTGGAGAAAATGGCTGCTTTAGTGGGTAGACCCTTCTGAGGTCCCTCCCCTCCCCAGGCTCCACCCCCAAAATCTTCAAATATTTTCCAACCCAGAGCTGGTCACCCTAGTGATATCACATATGCTAATGTACACTATTATATCTAGTGCTACTTCCAATGCACGGCCTTAAGGAAAACCAGATTATTCCAGTAGATTTGAAAATAATGGGATTCATTTCCTAGGTTTTAATTTTAGAAGATATTTTGGGCCTAGTCTATTTTTTTGTGTTTCTGTGCTCATAAGTAACAACATTAACATTGGAAAGGGAAAAGAAATATGGGGACTTTTTAACATTTATACCTTGTCCAGACAAAGTAACCCAGCCCACTTGTCTGGATATTTGACTCTTACAATGGCAGTTACTTCTTATTATTATGTTCTCCCTTTTCATTTCTTTTAGCAAAAACTTTGCCTGCAATATCCTGACATTGGGCTACGGAGGACCAGTCTTTCTTTCCTGTAAGTATTCTGCAAGGGACACTACATATCAAAAGTTCTGTATGGATAATAACCACTTTTACCTGTTGATTCGTACATCATATTTGCTCTCATCGATGGCCAGGGCTTTGGTCATTGCAATCACAGCGCCCTGTAAGAGAAAAGAACAACAAGCAGGGTGTCCAACTGACCAGAAATGGCTTGGCCTCCTTCTCTTACAGTCTGATGTGCTTTAAGGGAAGGATTTTTTTTAATGATGCAGACATAAATAGTGCCTACAATCCATTTTGCTATTCAGCTTCTATTAAAGGATAAGCAATTATTCTCAAGGCCTGTTGGCAACTCTCAGTGAAGATACAGTACAGAGAAGACCAATGTACAATGCATTACATTAGTCTAGTCTCAACTTTGGCAATCCTAGAGAAGTTAGGACAGGGGTTGGTGGGCCAAACCTTCTCATCTCTGAATGTTGGTTTTCAGCTCCTGAGTTGCCACCATCCACCAAAAAGATCTGTTCCCTCTGCCCAAGAGAAACAGGGGTAGGGGCTGAGATTCCTCTAGGGGGGCAGTTTGGACCTAGATATCCTAGTCTGATTACTTACCCAGGAAAATGGGTATATTGGACCTTGGAAACAACATTCCCCTGAAGCCTCTATTAAAGGGACAGGGTGTTTCATTGTCTCTAGGTGGATGTCAAATTTACTTGGGGTTCTCATGTAAGGGTGATAGATGCAAGATGTTTTTGCATTTGAGGCTCAAGTGAGATTTTCAGTCTGATAATGAGAAGAAAATGGACATTTCATAAAACCTTTACTGGTTACAGGCTGGTTTTAGACTTATCTATGAAAATTGACAAGTGATCTGAAAAAAAAACTAACCTGGCCTCCTTCTGTGCAAACCTTCATCTGCCCATCAAACTGCTATTAAAGGCAGAAGAAGAAGAGGAGGAGGAGGAGGAGATTGGATTTGTACCCCGCCCTTCACTTGGAGTCTCAGAGCAGTTTACAAACTCCTTCCCTTCCCCCCCCCATAACAGACACCCTGTGAGGTAGGTGGGGCTGAGAGAGCTCTTTCCAGAACTATCTTTGAGAGAACAGCTCTAACAGAACTATGGCTTGCCCAAGGTCATCCAGCAGCTGCATGCACACTTAACCACTACACCAAACTGGCTCAAGAGCAGAAGCATTAAAACAAAAAGGGATTCTGTCTTTGGGTCAGGATTACCTGGCTTGAGACATATGCCACATCATCCTTCTTCCCAAAGACACCAACGATACTGGCTATGTTGATGATGTTTCCTTTTGTTTCCCGTAAGTAGGGCAGTGCATACTGTACCCAAAAGACAAACAGAAAAAGTCTGCTGTATCTCAAAAGAGAAAACTTATGAAGCTGCTGTAACTTAGAATTGTCCACTGGCAGAGTCCCTACTTAGCACAGCTAGCAGAAATCCTTGCAACTAGAGATGGCAGAGATGAACACTTTGGATGGAAAGATGGTCCTCAGCTGTGGAGCTTAGTTCCTGTCCCTGTAGTTCTGATTCGGACCTTAATATAGTACTATACCTCTGGCAATGAAGTTTATACAATGATTAGAGCGATTTATACTAAACAACAAGCTAAGGTCCTTATTAATGGAGATTTATCATGAAATATTGAGATACAAAAAGGAACTAGACAAGGATGTCCCCTCGCACCTCTATTGTTTATTTTTGTTCTTGAGGTCTTAAATGACATCATTAAAGTGGATGTCCAAATTAAAGGCCTAAAAATAAGAGGAGAAGAATATAAACTTCAAGCCTTTGCTGATGATCTAGTATTTCTGTTAGAGAATCCATTGAGTTCTATTAAACAACTGATAGCTTCTTTGCAAAAGTATGGTGAAGTGGCAGGACTGAAAATCAACTGTAAAAAACCAAAAATGCTTATTAAAAATATGACCAAACTTCAAGCACATCAGCTACAAGAACTATCAGGCCTGGAAATTCAAAAGAAGGTATAATATTTAGGAATAAACAGATGCAGTTCTTTGATGGAAAACAATTATATGAAACTTATAAAAGACATAAAGGCTTGGAAAAATGGAAAAACCTTCAAATATCCTTAATGGGAAGAACTGCCTTGTCAAAACGACTATATTACCAAGATTTATATTTTTATTCCAAACAATACCTATTCTTCAAAACCAAAAATATTTCAAATAACTTGATAAACTGACTAAACAATTTATTTGGCAAGATATGAGGTCAAGAATAAAGCTTAAAGCATTACAAGATGCTAAAGAGAGAGCTGGCTTTGCATTATCAGACTGGCTTATGTATTACAGAGCAGCAGCCTTGACATGGTTAAAAGATTGGATTACTCTAGAAAACATAAGACTACTGAAACTAGAAGGACATGACCTTCTGTTAGGTTGGCACTCTTTTATATGGTATGGTAAAGCAAATACTCATAAGTATTTTAAACAACATTTTATTAGATCATCCTTATTGAAGGTGTGGGAAGAAAGCAAAAGTAATTTCTACACTAAGATACCAAAATGAGTTGCACCATTAGAACCTTTACAAACCTTAATTTATTTCAGGAAGACACAATGTTAAGATATGAAGATCTACTGGACAATAGACATGAATTAAAGCCAATGGAATCCCTAACTTGGTGGCAAAAAGCACAAATTGAATCAAGATATATCAAAGGTGATAGGTTTTTATGACAAAAACCAGTAATAGATAAGATATTGATGTATTCTGATGAGAAACTGATTAAGAAATTTTATTTGTTATTGTTAGATATTAAGACCCAAGATGAAGGAGTTAAAATGTTATGATAAAATGGGCACAAAACCTGGGTCATAATACTGAGTTGGACCAATGGTCACAAATATGGGAAATATATATATAAAGATTACCAAAGCAACTTCATATAAACAAAATATTTAGAAAACGTTTTATAGATGGCATATTTCTCCTGATAAACTGGCAAAAATTTATCCTAATTGCTCAAATGTATGCTGGAAATGTCAAAATAATGGCATATCTTATTACCATATGTGGTGGTTATGTGATAGAGTTTAAAAGTATTGGTTTTGGATTCATGAAATTCTACAAAAAATGTTAACATGTTGTGTACCCTTTGTTCCAGAAATATTTTTATTGAATACCTTACCTGAAAATTGTAAAATTACCTTATATTACATGTAATTGCAACTGTGAGAATACTGTATGCTAAATATTGGAGAAGAACAGATCCCCGAGAGAAGAAATTTTAAGTAAAATTTTGGAAACTGTGGAGATGGACAAATAACTTGAATTTTGAAAGGACAACCTGAGTCCACATTCAACAATGCATGGTCAAGATTTTACTAGTAGTTTGAACACTATAGCAAATAAACTACACAGACGTTCAAAACGCTTTAAGGATATGCAAAAATATAACTTCGATACATTTGCAAGAGATGTGCATAATGCTTTGTGGTGAAATAGATAAGTATACCAGTTGTTATGCAGAAGTTTGTTAAACAAGAATTGGTAAGAATATTTTTCCCTCTTACATGTTTGTTTTTCCCTATAAAAATACAAAAATTGACAAAAAAAGATATAGCACTACACCTCTGAGTACCATTCCAGGTATTTTCTACTGGACTTCCAACTCCAGATGAAGACAGCTGCACTCGGAGAAGAGGAGAAATTCCTTAGAAGTTAAAAACACTCACCTTGGATGCTAAGAAACAGCTCACAGTGTTGATTTTCATGATGTCATGGAAGTCTTGGGTGCTCATTTCTTCTATCGGTTTGAAATAACCTGTTTGTGAGAGGATTTAAAGTGGGTTTTACAGAGGCAAGGCACACAAACATTTCTGGAACATGCTGATGGATTTCACACTTGTTTTTAATGTAATGCCACTTTGAGCACAACCTCAAGCCACACAGAATCATCAGATCGTCTGGAAGTAAGAGTAGCCCAGTAGTCCCAGTATGTCCCTGACATGAAGTAATCATGTCAGGGACACTGTGCTGCCCCCAGTCAGCGTTATCTGTAGTTTAGTAAAACTGTGCTGTATCTTTAAGACTTGTTGCTCCTGGGAATTGTAGTTTGCAGTTAGAGGTCTCAGAAGCTTCCCTCTGACTGGCTCATTAAGAGCAATTTCCTGACTTTATGGTTCTTTTCCGTTTCTTTGTTCATCAACCCTTACGGCAAGGAGAGGGGAAACCCATCTCTTTCTCACCGCGGCTATAAAACTGACCTATATCACAAGATATAGCCTTCCACCCAGATATCAGCTGATGTGAGTAAAATATTGTCTGACTGTGTGTGAAGCGAAATAAAGATGATTTAGGCTTTCTCAGTAGTCGTGGTTGAATCACACCTAGAGGCGTTGGCTTAGCACAGCTAGCACCGGACAGGACAGACACCACGTGCAGTGATGTCACCCTGGCCCCCAATCCCGGAAAACTCTTGCCCACCTCCACCGGCAGAAAGTAAGCACCTGGCAACCCTACGGTGGAAAGTTTTACTTCCTCGAACCCTTTACTGATCAAGTGCATTCTGGCTTTTGAATAAACAGGAAATTTTATTTATTTATTTATTTATTTTGGGATTTGTATCCCACCCTATCCAACAGCTCAGGGCGGCTAACAGATGGCTATGCCGAAGTTAAAATATAACACAGTAGACAGTACAGCAGTAAAACAATGTTACCTACAAATAAAATTCGGTGCTCAAATAATTTACATAAAAAGACACAAGATGCACAACGTCCCACACTGGCGGCCAAGTTCTTCATAGCATGAGCGCCAGGAGGAATGTTTCCCCGGCTCAATTGGGCGACATCTACCCCCTCCAAATGAGGTAGATGGTTGGAATCTCAGTGGTGGAATAGTGGTGGCGGTGGCTCCCCCTCAAAGGCCTGGTGGAAGAGCTCCGTTTTGCAGGCCCTGCGGAACTACACCAGGTACCGCAGGGACCGGATCTCCTCCGGGAGCTTGTTCCACCAGGTGGGAGCCGCCACCGAGAACACCGTAGCCTTAGTTTGGGCCAACTTCACTCCTCGGGGACCTGGAACTTCCAGGAGGTGGGAATTCCCCGATCGCAGTGCTCTTGGGGGAATATATGGGAAGAGGCGGTCCCTTAGGTAGGAAATGACCTCACATCCAGGAAATGACCTCACATCCAGAAACAAACATCACAGGGATTCTTCCCAGGCCCCAAAAGTTTGAACGTCACTCACTAGTTCCCGCGTTGTTCACCAGGCAGTCCAGGCATCCGTAACGTTCTACAGTTACCGAAATCAGCCTCTGCAGGAACAAAGATGAAGACGCATCAAAGGCAGGGCAAGGATTAACAACAGAATCGAGAATGCTGCCATTCCAGAGCTGCAAGCGACCATCCACATATGTGCCCCAGAAAGCACTGAGGTCGGGGCTACAAAATCGCCTGGCTCTCCCTGGCTTGAAAGACACCAGACTGGCTACCACCAGAGCCAGGGCATTTTCGCTGGTGGCCCCATACTGGTGAAATGAGCTCCTGGAGGACATCAGGGCCCTGCGGGACCTCTTACAGTTCTGCAGGGCTTGTATAACAGAGCTCTTCCACCAGGCATTCGATTAGGAGCCGCCACCGATGAATTGAATCATCGGAACATCTATGGCCCCTGATATACCACTGGTTATACCAGCAATGGACCGTCTACTGAAGATCGACATCATTCGTATTATATTGAATTTTAGTACTGTACGCTATTTTAACTAATTTATTGGACTTACTGTTTTATGTTATTGTGATTGTTGTACACCACCTTGAGCCAGCTTGTCTGGCGAGGAGGGATAGAAATTAAAGCAATAAAATAAATAAATCACCTACTCGGGGCTGCACCTGTTCCAGGTGTTGGGAGCAAGACAGAGACGGGTGGGCAGCAAAGGAGCCTGGGGGGAGGGGAGAGGAGAGGGGCAACCAGAGCAGAGGGCTCCTGTGTGGTTTGGGGGACGAGGCCTGATCCAGACTGGGGAGGGGGAAGCTTAGGCATTTGGTGGTTGAGGGTCTTTGAACCCTAAGCTGCCTCCTGCCGGAATACACCAGGGTCTTGTATACAAGGAAGAAGAGGAAAGAAGATCCTGCAGGGAGCAGCAAGTTCTAGCTCGAGAGGACTGTAGAGGGAAGTACTTTCTTTCTAGATGGGCTTCTCATTGTCTGTCTTCAGAATGATCTTCTTTGGCTTTCCTTCTGAAAGAGTCTAGAAGTCTCTGCCTCTCACTTACCAGGGTAGCTAGGTTTACATCTTCTGTTTCCTATCCACTTTCTTAGTTCCACAAATAAAGCTCACTCTTAACCAATTCCCTGCCCCAACTGCTGCATAACCATTCAGCTATAACACCTCCAGCCTGACTAAGCACAGAGTTAAGGAGGCAATGTTTGGGCTCATCTTCTGATCCTTGCCCATTTTCAGACTCCAGAGCATGCTGTGACTGTGAGGAGGACTAGAAGTTTTAAGCTGATGGAGAAATTCAATGGAACCCCAGGGCAAGAACTTAAGCAGAGGAGAGACACATGACATTATAGGTGATATAGTCTGAATTTATGAAAGAGGAGCATAAATCAAGGGGAGAGGCCTAGAAGAGCACCGTTATGGCCATTTAGACACCTGAGAATTAGAATACAGAGAACGGTTTTAGTGATGGGCTCAGAGATGAAAGGACATTTCTTGGAAGTGCTGCATAAGAACCCCCAAAGAAGCACCACTCTTCTTCTCCCAGTTCTCACCTACCTTAATGTTTGACTCACTGCGAACATCACAGACCTGGTAGAAAGCATCCCCTGGGCACCCTGAAGCCTGCAGCTCCCTCTGAATTGCTTGTCCCTCTTTCGCTGCAAGGGTGGTGGTGGTGGGGGGGGGGGAGAGAACAGAACGGTTGTCAGCAGGACAAAACTTCTAACCCTGCCTTTTTTGTGTGCAGCCTTTGTTTTATCCATCTGTTTCCCTTTCCAGCAGTGCTGAAACTCCAGGTACACACAGGCACGTTTACTAAGTGTGTTGATGATTGCTGCTCCTTTCTCTTGGTTGTCTTTTCTCCATTTGGAGAAAGGCGGGCAAAAAGGCCTGCAATCTGCAAACTATACAAATACATTCTGTTTTAAATGGGCAGGCAGGTCCTGTTTACTGCTACCTACAGGAACAGGGGAAGACAAAGAACTTGATGATTGGCTAGGAAACTGAAGGATTATTAGGTTAGCAGAGCCCATCTGGGTTGTGTGTACTGACAAGAACCAAGTCACACACAGAGCCTCATTATTTTTGAGAAACTATTATGAGTCCTTTATTTACAGTTTCAATTTATATACCACCCTTCCCTGAGTTCACAGGGCTAAGAATGGTTGACAACAACAACAACAACAAAATACAATATAAAACAAAAAATAAAACAGTTAAAGTTAAAAAACCCCAAAACTTAAAATGGCACCAAAGTAGATACAATATGTATCACTGTCCCACAAGTGGGAGAAAGTGGGGTGGGGGTCGGGGAGTGCCAGATAAGATGGCCCTTGTTGCTGTCCTCAGCTAAAAGCCTGGTGGAACATCTCTGCCTTACATGCCCTGTGGAAATGCTTCAGGTAGAAAGCTCCACCAGGTAGTTGCCAGGGCTGAAAAAGCCCTGGCTCTGCTCAAGGGCAGCCAGACATCTTTTGGGCTAGGGATCACCAGCAGATAATTTCCAGCAGAACACAGAGCTCTTCGGGGGAAATACCAGAGGAGGCGGTCCCGAAGATACATGGGTCCCAGACCGCTCAAGGCCTTAAAGGTCAATACCAAAACCTTGACCCTGACCCGGTACTCCCCGGGGAGCCAGTGCAGCTGGTGCAGCAGTCCGCGGTGTCTCTTCTCGCATCCTTCCGTGTAGTATGCGGGCGAGGGTGTATCGGGAAGGAGAGAACAACTTACTTGCGCTTTAAAGGGCTTGTTGTTTTTGTTTCTGCCCAGTCATGTGTTTGATCATTAGTAAATAGATATTAAATTGACTTTTAATCGGTGAGTCTCTGTCCATTTTCTCGTACGTATCTTGCTGTGGACTAAAACTTCAGATGAAACATCCCTTGTTTGCCCCTCTGGAGACCCCTCGAAGAGCTCTTCCACCCTCTCTGGGTCCATTTCAGGAAACACGATGCCCAGAGAAAGGGGCTTTTGTAGTGGTGGCACCTGACCCAATATGGAGGAAAGGTGGCCTGGTATAGTCCAGTCTCGTCAGATCGTGGATGCTAAGAGCATGGCTGGTACTTGAGCGAGAGACTACCAAGGAAGGCTCTGCAGAGGAAGGCAAAGGTAAACCATCTCTGCTTCTTTCCTGAGAAAAAGCCCCTTGCTGGAGTCGCCCATGCTTGTTGGCACCGGCAGAGGTACCTGACCGATTAAGTAGCATCCCATTTGATCCCCACCTGCCCCAAACAGTTCTTTTTACCCAAACTTGTAAGGAAGGAGTAGTTCTTTCAAAATTCTTTTTGACATTTTAGGGTAATGACTGTTATGAAAATCATTTCAGGCTTACAAAATCTTTTATGTTACTTAATGCACTGGCTAGGGTTTTAATCTTTTAAATTAACAATGGTCCCGGTCACACAGGCCGGGGGAAGCATGGCTAATTGCCCTGGCGCAGTTTGATCCATGATTACACGATTAGATGTGCCGGCGACACACCACCGGTCCTTCCCTCGGCGCCGGCGGGTAGATGAGGGACCGGAAGGAAATGCCGCATGCCAGTGCAATCACACCATGGGCGTCTGGAGGCACCCCATGGCAAACGTTTACTAGTACCTTGGAGGTACTAGTTTTTTAACGTGCATTGTCGGCGGTAAACCATGGGTACACTCCACTTCCCAGATGTTGGGGTGTGATCGCACCCGGATAATCCACCCACCATGCGTGCCTCTCCCGCGGCAACTTTGCCGTGTGACCGGGGCCAATATATGCTGCTTTAAAGAGTTTATTAAGTTTTACTTTGTAAGCTACCTCAAGAAGGATCTCTGTTGAGGAGGGAAATGCCTTTTTGAAACAAATAAGAGGGCCCTGTCATGGGAGGGGGGGGAAGTAGAAAAAGTGCTCTAGACTCACCATTGGAGGCTTGTGAACAGAAGACCACATTGGCTCCCTGGCGAACTGGAGGGCAAAGAGAGAAAGGAACACAAGACAAAACTCAGAGACTTGGCTCAGTCACAGATGCACAGCACGGGATGTATTCATTTGTTTAAAAGACTCAATTTCTACCTCCCCACCCCCCATTCAGGACCTCTAACAACCTCAGAGAACTTTTTTGTGTGTGGCGGGGTTGTTTTCCGTCTCAGGAGGGGCAGCTTTCTGCAGGTAGATCTTCCGAACAAACCCTCTCTAATGATGGGAGCAGAAGCCCCCTCCCTTCCCAAGCCCTCCATGAAGACCCCTTTCGGGTGGGCAGCCATGGTGCTCTTCAGTAGAAGAGCCAGATTAGAGTCCAGGAGCACCTGAAAGGCCAAAAAGGTCTCCATGGGAGAAGCTTTTGAGAGGCAAAGCTCCATGAATTGTCAGATATCTGAGTCCGTAAAGTCGGACATACTCTGGAAATCTTGCTTCTCTTTGAGGTACTTTTGGGCTCAAATCTTGCTGTGCCAAAGCTCGGAAATATAGGACACCCAGTGCCTCTGTCCACAGGCTCACCGTCCTCATATCCGTCAGATTGCTACCTTGTATTCTGGCAGCCTGGACTTCAAGAGCTTTACAACAGGTTGAAGTTCAGCTGGTGCAGCTTCACTTGCCTAGAAAATAGGAGCTGCCCACCCTTTACCAGAATCTGAACCACAGGTAATAGGGATAGTTCTTGCATCATACACACACACACTAATTTCTTATTACTTTTGATAACAAAAGAAAGTGTCTTGTGGAACATCAAAGGCAAGTGAAAAGCCTCAAGTTCACAAGACCTTAGGTCAGAAGATACTACTACATGAGTCCTTTTTGTGTTTACAGGACAGACAAAAATGCCTCTGAGGACATAAAGAAGACTTCCCTCCCTCCCAGTTTCTCTCCACCCCAGATTAGAGATGTAGGGAGCAAGACTTCCTGAGTCTTCCAGGCAGTCTTGACCCCAGCCCCTGTTGGCAGAACATGCCCACTCCTCCATGCCCACTTCTCTCCTTTCTCACCAAATTCTCTCACGATGGCCAGACCAATGCCTGAGGTGCCACCAGTCACAATCACCACCTTGCCCGGGTAACGCAGCCAAGTTGCCATGCCAGCTGTTTGCCTCTGTTTCTCTGAATGACTAAAATCTTGTAGAGCTTTGCCTATATAGGCTCTTGGGTGGAGCAGTGCCACTTATTTAGTTGGGGGGAGTGTCCATGGCTCGTCTGCTCACTGTGGGGTGTGGAGCATGAGGGTTGGTCCTTTCTGAACTGGGAGAAGAATAATGTGGTGGGAGAGCTTTTCAGAAGCTCCTGTGTTTGCTGCAAGGGATGGCTTCATTGCTGAAAGGCCTAAACTGAAGAAGCAGTAAACAAGATCTATGTAGGAAGCAAGTCTCCTTGGATTCCCATTCATGACCTTGCTGCTGAGGATATTTCTTGTAGTATGGGAGGGATGGGTCCCCTCCCACCCATTCCCTCTTCACTAAAATCCCTTCCTCAAGAAAATGTTTGCCCCCATCTCCTTAAATTCAGCCTCATTTCTTCTCACCTGGGCTTTTCATCCTAGCCTCAAGGTTAGGGTTGTCAGGTCCTTGCCAGTGGGGAAGCAGGGTGGGGATTTAACAGAAGAAGGAAAGTGGCCCAGAGACCAATCTCACTTCTGGTCACATTCTGGTATTTGGTCAAAAACTCTATGGTGGCTCCGGTCACACGGCCAGGAAAATGCGGGAGGGGAGCGTGGCTCTTTGCCCCGGGGCAAACTAACGCGCGGTTAAGCGATCAGACCTCCCATGGAGGTTCCGTCGAGGTCCCGTGGAGGTCCCGTGGGTAGGGAGAGGTGTCGATCACAGGACAATCCGGCACGCAACAAAGAAGCGCGCTGTGAGGCAAAGTGTTTTTTTTTGTGTGTGTACACCAAACCTGCGCATGCTCTGTTGGGTGCTTGTGCGCATCCACGGAGACTTGGAAAAAAAACCCCCTTTTTTGCAAGGGGACATGGGCGGGCGCCGGATGCCACCGGAAACGCGATCAGATGCCCGCCCTTGCCCCGCGGTTTTCGGAAACTAGTACCTCTGAGGTACTAGTTTTTTGCCGTGCGTCTTCGGCGGGAAGCCTCGGTTGAGCCATGGGAGTGCTACGATTCCCAGATGTGCCGGTGAGATCAGGCCCGGAAACTCCACCTGTCTTCCGTCTCTCTAGTGTGGCTAATGTTCCGTGTGACCGCAGCCGGTAAATGGCTTTTACCTAAGTTGCTGCACAGGATGTTGTGAGCAGAAAGAGGAGAGCCATGTGCGTCACCTGAGGCTTTTTTGGGGGGAAGGCAGAGTCCAAAAAGTCTCTTTAAGACACACCAGCTCAGATGCCACACTGATAAAGAAGACTCATGTACTTTATTCTTGCAGGTAGGGTTGCTGCATTTCAAACTGGTCTCTCACTGGTTCCTTTAGTATCGATTTGTTCCACACAAAATATCAAGGGGGCGTCATTCACTTTCATGCCTTGGAAATCCTCAACTGCCCATTTGCCCGCCCACCCCTCGAATGAAACACAGCACAAATGATGGGTTAAACTGGGACTTTATTTACATACAAGCTGATCTGCATAATTTATACCGATTAAGCACGGGTTGCACTGGGCCTGCGAAGCAGGCTTCTTAACAGGGCAAACCCACCCCAGTTTCGAGCTAGGTCCAGCATCCAGCCATCTCTGATAGGGCAGTGCTCCTGCACTGTGCCCTCATAGGCTTCTCTCACTCTCATGATTCCATCTGAGGATGTGGGGGATGGGCAAAAGCCTGCGCTCGCACATGGGCAAGTACGGGTCTTCCACACATAAGGGAGAGGACATTCTCCCCCAGGCCTGTTGGCCACCCTGATTCCCAGGTTTCCAGTCCTGTAATGTCTGAGTGGCAAGTAGAAATTCAGTATAACTCCCTCTCCCAGAATGAAAGACAGCAACCCCATCTTGGATTTAGCTTCACCCGGCCCCGACTCTAATAGTGTAAGCGAGAGCTAAGCCCTGGAATGTCACTTCTCTATTTAGGCTGTAGGTGGTCATATGAATGTGCACCAGGACAGAGAGTCCAGGAAATGGTGGAACTTCATTAGATGTCTCCTGTTGATGTTTTGTGTTTACTTCCTCTTCTCTAACAACTGTGTCTTTTCTGATCCCAAATCTCATCCTCTAAGAAAAAAACACTTCAAGGAAAAGAGAAGCCATAAATGTGTTGTTGCTGTTTGGCTTTAATACATGAAAATAAGTTTGCACCGGGAGCTCCCCTTCCTGATTGAACTGGGTTTGGTGCCCTCTTCCTGGCCTTACAGCTTCCCTTCTCTGCACCTCCAAACTCTCTGCCTGGATTCATTTGCTTCTCCCTCTTAACTCCCTTTCTGTTTGTCTATTGACAATCAGTGAAACTCCCTGACTGCTTGGGTCAATACCAGACACCTGGCAACCCAATCCAGATCCTGAAGGTGAGTGATGACCTCTCAATTCAGGGCCTTACTATTCAGGTTACAATTTTTTGACAATCCTGCCCTTGGGCAAAATCTGGCTTGGCGTAAGGCAGCTCTTGTAGTCCTTTGGCCAATGTCCTGGAAGCGCTTGCTTGCGGGTAGTTTCCCAGGGTAGGCACATTGGTCTGCAGAAGAACCAAGTAGCACCTTAGGGACCAAAACAGAACAGGAAGAAACTTCAGCCTGGTAAACCAGGTAATGAAGAAGGCTGAGAAAAAGCCTCTTAACAGAATGAATTCTGATGGGTTCTGCGAGGATCAGGGCTGTGTGCGAGCGGCGCCTGCTTAAAATAACTAACTTTGCTTCTTAGACGGCAACTAACATCTTAAAATGCTCTCGGGAAAAGAGAGCGAAAGCAAGGGGTGCATGAGCTAAACATCGGGGGGGGGGGTAGGCAAAATCCCCAGTGTGGCGGGCTTTGACCCTGAAGTGAGAGGCAAAGGCAAGGCTCGGCATGAAGAAATGCCGAGTGAAAGCGGGGCCATGAGAACGGGAGGAGTCGCCGTTGGGATGCGCTAGAAGATGGCTGGAAAAGCTTTGAAATTAAGTATAACAAAAGAAAAGAAAATCCATCCATTCTGATTGCTAAAAGAGTAAAAAGCAGGTTGGGCTGAGGGAAAAATTTTGTCTGCTCTGAAAGGTGGGGAGAAGTGGTTTGCCCTGTTGAAGTGGCTATTAAGAGTAGCAGGATGAGAGTTAGTGGGGCAAAGACAATTTAAGTGAGTAAAAAGTATTAGCAGAAGTATTTACCTGTAAATTGAGATGAAACAGGAAGGACGCACCTGAATCGGTGTTTGTTTGTTTTGTTTTCTCTCATGTTGACCTGGAGATGCTGTTCCTTTAACGATGCCATCTCTCCCTTATATATAATTGTATAAGATGCAAACTCACACAGCGGAGAGAAAATGCGCACCCACAGTGTTTGGCCGGCTGAGCTGTCCCTCAAAGGCTTACCCAGGTTCCATTGGCCATGTTGTCTGAGTCCCGCCTCCGACGTAGCTTCACGCAACGGACCGCCACAAGGGAAAGCGGCAGCGGGTACGGACGAGGGCCAGGAGGCAACTTTCCGCGCAGGTGACACGGAGGTCGCCGCCATGGCCGAGGTGCTACTCGCCTATCTGGTGGGCCAGAAGGTGAGATCCATGAGTGGCTGGAGGCGCCGGCCTCCTCGATAAGAGTGGGGAGGGGGAGTAGGCGAGGGAGCCGTGTGCTCCTGCTCCGTCTGCTGCTTCTGCAGCGGCGCTTGCCTGCCGCCGTGGCCGCAGCCATCTTAAACACAGCCACTTCCCTTCTCCCCCCACTTTCTCTCTCTCTCTCTCTCCCTCCCTCCCCCACCCGCCCACTTCGCCAACCCACCTGCCCCACCGAACAGACGGATAGACAAAAACAGGAGAACACTGGGAAACCAGTGAAAAGAGGAAAAAGAAACACAAATTCAAAGCAAACAGTATCACACATACTAACGAGGTTTCGATACAAAATCAGAGGACAACACGTTAAAAAGTAAAAATAAAAATGGCAATGAATAAATGTTTTAAAATTGTATCTTTGAATGTAAATGGCCTAAATAGCCCACAGAAAAGACATAGAACTTTTCATCAGATCTATAAATTACAGGCAGAAGTGATAGGAATACAGGAAACACACATTTAAAAAATGATGAAAAATATTTAAAGTGCAGAAAACTAGGTAAAGAGTTTGTAGCAACAGATAAAAAGAAGAAGAATGGAGTGGCAATATTTGTGAAAGAGCACCTTTCTCCAGAGTTAGTATATGCGGCAGAGGATGGTAGAATGGTAGCAGTAAAAATAAGGAGACTAGAAAAAGAGATGTTGATCATAAATATATATGCACCTAATCAGAACCAAGAGCCCTTTTATAAAACAGTATATAAATTTATCAAAAAGCAAAAGATGGAAAATATCTGTATTTTGGGGGATTTCAATGCGGTATTTGATGAAGAATGGGACAGGAAGTTAAATAGAGGTAGAAAAAGGAAAAGTCAGACTTTTCCAAAAGTTTTTCTGGAAATGGTAGAAGAATATAACTTAACAGATCTATGGAGAGTTAGGAATTTGAGGAAGAGAGACTTCACGTACTACTTGGCTAGACATAATTGTTGGTCGAGATTAGATATGATATGGGCACCTGCTAGCTGGGTACAAGAGATACGAGAAGTAGAAATACTACCGCAAACGTTTGCAGATCACAACCCGTTACTTTACATTGAAAGATAGATACAAAAAACCAAGATGGAGACTTAATATGGGACTACTACGGGATCGGGAATTTATAGCAAAGATGAAGGTAGAAATCCAGGAATTTTTTCAAAGAAATAAACAAGGAGAAACAGCGATTGACATAATTTGGGATACATTTAAGGCCTATGTAAGGGGCTGGTTTATTAGCCAGGACACATGGAGGAAAAAGAAAAAGAGAGAGGAATATGAAAAAATAAGTGAACAAATAAAGAAGGAGGAAGATTAGAGGGGAAAATTAATTGAAATTATATTCACATATCATTCCCTAGTGAACCCACTGATGGAGGGAACATCGATAGTGAGACAACTTTTGTTTCAATTTCAGTTTCTGGCATTAATTCAATAAAGATGACATAAAAGTGTTTGAAAATAAACTCAGTATGCACTAACCTCATCTGTGTTTCTACAGTAGCCCAAGAAGGTATTTGGAAAGAATTGGCAACCCTAGTTTGCAGGTGTGAATGTGATTCATCAGGACCCCTTTTCTTTGTGTAATTTATCAAGTTTGTTGTATATACAATTAAAATGTAATGTTTCCTGTCCCTGAGACTTGGCACACATTTGAGACTCCTGCCCTTTCCTGCATATTCTCACCATAGTGAGGTTTATTTTGTGCTTCTGCTGCTAGCCTGTGCTGGTAAAGAGACACCTAATGATTTACTTTTAAATACAATTTAATTTAATTAAATTAGGGTGCTAAATGATTAAAATTATATTCACAGATCATCCCCTAGTGAACCCACTGACAAAATGGAGCGAAGGAGACAAGTTCAGTTACTGAGCTTCAATCAAAGACCAACATAAAGGTGTATGAAAGTAAACTAAGTATGGAGTAAGGTCATCCATGTTACCACAACAGGTCAAGAAGATAGTTTGAAAATATGTTGTTAAACAGAAAAATGCCACTACAGAAGATTCATAAAGGGAAAGAAGTGTGCTAAAAAGAATCCGTAAAAAGAGGTGGGAGAAATCTCTATGCAAACTAGTGTCCAGACAGACCTCCCCAGCCAGTTGAGAGCATGGGCAGAACCAGGAGGCAACTGGTCAAGCTCACTTCTGTTTAAGACATGAATGGCTACTATAAAGATGAATATATTACCAAGATTCCTTTTTTTAGCACAAAATATTCCTATTTTAAAGAAAAACAAGTTAATTACAGAAATGGATAAGATTACAAGAAAGTTTGTTTGGAATTCAAAAAAAGCCAGGATAAAATGGAAGTTACTACAATACAACAAAGATAATGGAGGTCTTAGAATTCCTAACTGGAAATTTTATTACCAAGCGGCTGCTCTATGCTGGATCAAGGATTGGATTAATTGACAAAATGTGAGAACATTAAAATTAGAAGGACATGATCTAAGCATGGGGTGGCATGCATACATCTGGTATGGAAAGGACAAAATTCATTCTAACTTCCACCAACATATAATAAGAGGATTGTTGATTAAAATATGGAACTCTATAAAAGAAAGATATTATATAAGAATTCCAAAATGGGTGTCGCCTCTAGAGGCATTTATGAAACCCTCGTTAATCAATAAAAATAATAGAGAAGGTTATGAAATACTTCTAGATGAGAAGAACGAGTTGAAAAATGAAGAAAAACTGTTGCAACATAATATTCAACTGTCATGGTGGCAATACTTACAACTAAAGTCAAGATACACCAAAGATAAATCTCAAGGTTTTGAAAGCAACAAAAACGAACTTGTTAAGATTTGGCTGTCTTCCAACGATAAACTTATTCAAAAACTGTATAAATTATGGCAACCTGACTGATTTCCCTTTGATCTTTAAGGCAATTATAATAGATATTACCGATATAGAACTAAAACTAGATCCAGAATGTTATCTTCTTAATATGTTACCAGAGGAATTGAGATATGTGAATAAATGTCTGATAATTTTAATAATTACTTCGGCTAGGATTCTTTTTGCAAAAAAATGGAAATCAGAAGAAATCCCCGGAGATAGAGAAGTAATTGACAAAATTATGAATTTAGCAGAAATGGATAAACTAAACTCATTACTGAAAGACTGGAATCTGAACGCACCACATGCACAAGAAATAGGGGTTTGGGGAGCAAGAACTGAGCCCAGTAGGTCCTAATAGACCCACAAGATTTCCACGGTCGAAGCTTTTGAGACTCATATATTCAGCAAAGGGAGCTTTGACTCTCAAATACCTGTTGGCCTATAAGGTGCTACTTGGCTCAGAGCTTGCTCTTCTCCTGCAGACCAACACAACCACCCACCTGAAACTTATCTTCCTGGAGGGCTTGTGGGAGGGGGCATAATCACAGACAGTCTGATGGTGTGTTCTTGGCAGGGCTCATTTCCTGCAGGAGCTCACAGGAGTGGAACTCCGGCAGTAAAGAGCCCAGGGGGCGAGCACATGCAACAAGCCCCACCCCCTGCTCCCAGCAGCCCTCAGTCAGAGCAAGAAGTGGCCAGATAAGTTGCAGAGCTCCCCCCCTGTCCAAAACAGTCCAGTGGCACCTTTAAGACCAAGTTTTATTCAGGTACAAGCTCTCCCTCCTCTGTGAGGGCAGATCTGCACATTCCCCCCCCCCATAGCTAGCAATTCAAAATAGTCCAGTGGAGCTTGAGTGGTGGGTGTTGCCTCCTGACACACTTCTGGTGATGTCAGGGGGTGTGGCATATGCAAATAAGTTATGCTAATGAGCTCCTGCACCTCTTTTTCTACGAAATGACCCCTGGTTCTTGGTGAGAAGATCTGCCTGTAGAAGGCCGCCCCTCCTGAAACAGAGAAGCCCCCCCCCCCAAGTGTTTGTGTGGGTTGTTTTTGGAAGGGATGGAGACCAAAATGGGGCAAGTGAGCTTTTTAAATCGATCAATCAACCTTGTGATGTCCATCTCTGTGTGTGCCAGACCTCTGAGTCTTGCCTTGTGCTCCTTTCTCTCTTTGTCCTCCAGTTTGCCAGGGAGCCAAAGTGGTCTTCTGTTCAAAAGCATCTGAAGGTGAGTCTAGAGCCCTTTGCCTCACCCAACCACAACAGGGTCCCCTTATTTGTTTTAAAAAATGCGTATGCCACCTTCACAGAGAACGTTTTTGAGGCAGCTTGCAGAAGTTCAACTCCATAAAATTATAACACAGCATAAAAGAGTGTGAATTTAAAAAAGGATTAAAAAGCCCACCCAGAAGTACAAAAACAAAACATTGAGCAGCTTAAAATGATTCTCATAAAACAGGCCTTAGGATAGAAGCAGGCTGCAAACTCCATTTTAGAAGAACAACTTCGTTATTAAAAGCCAAGGTAAAAAGAAATCTTTTGGCCAGGTGAGGCCCAAGGGGGTGGGGGAGCCTTCCATCGGTCAAGTTCCACTGCAATCCACCTTTCTCTGATCACCACCCACATCACCTCTGCCGGCATGGAGAGCAGGGCTTTTGAAGCAGAATTTCTTATCTGAGGGAGGAGGAGGGCCTTCACTGACCCTGGCTCCAGGCCATTGACAGCCCTGAACGTAAGAACCAGAAGTCTGCATGGAGTGTGTTGCCAGCAACAGAGGGCTGCCCAGTGTAGAACTCCTGGCCCAGGAACGATACAACCCCAGGATCCAGCCCCTAATCTCAGATCAGCAAATATAAAGAAAAGATGAGGTTTAGGGTAGTAGAGCTGGAGATGAAAGTAAATGGGAATGAGAAGACTGTGGTCAAAGTGGCATTTCCCATCTTCTCCTCAAGGCCCTTGAGAGGGAGAAGACAAATAAGTTGTATTCATCCTTGAGTAGAGTGCTGGCAAATACCCCCAGAGAAGGAGGCATTTGATGGAACGTGGGATCATCAGACCTTCTTTTTGCTGCACAGGATCTGTCTACTCGTCAGCCACCACGTTCTTTGTCTTCCCCTGTTCCAGTAGGCAACCCCAGATGGGACCCCCTTCCCATTTAAAACAGAATATATTTATTTATTTTGCAGCCCTTTTAGCCTACCGTTCTCCAAATGGAGAAAGCCACCAAGAGAGAAGAGCAATAGCCTTCAATGCATTTAGAAAACAGTTGGAAAAAAGATGTAGGGATAGGCAAAAAAAGGCAGGGTTAGAAGGTTTCTCCTGCTGGCAACTGTTCTGTTCTCCCTTCCTTGCAGCGGAACAGGGGCGAGCAATTCAGAGGGACTTGCAGGCTTCTGGGTGCCCAGGGGATGCTTACTTCCAGGTCTGTGATGTTCGAAAGGAGTCAGACATTAAGGTAGGCTAAACTTGGGTGAAGAGTGGTGCTTCTTTGGGGGTTCTTCTTCAGCATTTCCAAGAGATGTCCTTTCATCTCATGTTTAATTCTAATTCTCAGGTGTCTAAATGCTCATGACCCTGTTGTTCTGGGCCTTTCCTCTTGATTAATGCTCCTCTTTCATAAACTCAGAATGTGTTTGTCATCTGTGAAGGCTCATGTCTCTCCTTTGCTTAAGTCTATTCTTGGGGATTCCATTTAATTTCACTGTCAACTTCAAGTTTCTAGTCCACATTGGCATAGCATGCCCTCTGCAAGCATTTTTTGGAGTCTGACAATGGGAAGGGCTCAGAAGCTGGCCGCAAACCTTCCCTCCTTGCCTCTGGGCCCAGTAAGGCTGGAGGTGTTATAGCAGAAAGCTTATGGAGCTGTAAGGACACTAAACTGGTTAAGAGCAAAGAAAGTTTTATTTGTGGAACTAACAAACTAGATAGTTGCCTTACCAGGTGAGAGACAGAAAGTTCTAGACTGTTCTAGGAGGAAAACCTCAGGACAGCATTCTGCCACCAGACAAGAAGTCCCTTTAGAAAGGAGGTACTCCCCCTACTGTCCTTTCTGGCTTGGGCTTGCACTCTCTCCCCAAGCCCGATGTGGCATTGTCCCCCGTGCCACATATGGCTCCTCTCCTCTATTCCCCAGGCACCTTTGCTACCCATCCTTCCCTGTCTCCTGCACTTCCACCAAACACCTGGAACAGATGCAGCCCAGGGTAGTTCTAACCTTGCAGCTCTGGGGCTGGAGGATTCTTAATGCTGCTGTTATCCTTGCCCTGCCTCTCTTCATCCTTATTCCTGCAGAGGTTGATTCGGGTCACTGTAGAACGTTATGGATGTCTGGACTGTCTGGTGAACAATACTGGAGATGGTGAGTGACCTTCAAACTTTGAGGCCTGGGAAGAATTCCTGGGATGCATGTGTCTGGATGTGAGAGCGTTTCTTGTTTATTCAAACAATATTCAGTAAAGGGTTTGAGGAACTATAGCTTTTCAGGCAGCTCTTCACAAAGAAATTAAGGAAATTACAGTAGCCATGTAACTCAGCCCCGTGTCTCTCACCCTAATAATTTCTGAAAGAAGTGCCTCTTTATTTAAAGATGAATCAACTGGCGGACTATGCTGTTCAAGGATGTAGTGATGGCCTCTAGTTTAATTGAAGTCTTACATAGATTCATAGTAGATGGGTCCATCAGGGCCCGTGAGCTCTGATGGTAAATGAAACCTCCACATGCAGAGCCTGTAACTCTCTGAAGACCAGTGGCAGGGGATTGTGTTGGGTTACCAACACTGGGCTGGGGGATTCCTGGAGATTTTGTGGTGGAGCCTGGGGAGAGCAGAATTTGGGGAGTGGATGGACCTCATTGGGGTATAATGCCACATGCCCCAATGTCAAAAGTGGGCTTCACTTGGAGGATGGCAACCCCAGGGCTGTAACAAGGAGAGGCTTGGGCCTTCTGGGGCATATGGTTTGCCTCTGTATTAAAGGGTCTCCAGGACTACTGGGTGGACCCAGTAGGGCTATTCTTACTTCCAGGTGATCTGATGATTATGTTTGACTTTTGGCTTTACTCCATGCAAGTCTTACTTGAACAATAAAACAAGTGCGGAATCCATCAATGTATTTCAGGGGTGGGGCTCTCTGGGTGTTTGTGTGTCTTTTCATTGTGAAATCCACTTCCATTTAAAATCCTCTCGCAATCAGATCATTTCCAAACAACAGATGATGTGACTGCCCAAGATTTCTGCAACCTCATGAAACTCAATGCTGTGAGCTGTTTGTTAGCATCCAAGGTGAGTGTTCCTAACTTCTAAGGAGTTTCCCTCTTCCCTGAGGGCAGCTGCCTTCATTGGCAGTTTAAAGTTGATTGGAAAAAAACCTGGAAGGGTACTCAGAGGTGTAGGGCTATAACTGTGTCTGTCACTTCTCTCCTACCCAAATCAGAACACCAGGTATGGGCCATGGCTTCACTGTTACCCAAAGAGGCAGTGTCCTAATTAGTTGGGGGAATTAGCTTAAAGGAGACAGAGCAAGTGGGGGAGGCTGGGATTCTAAATCAATGTTTATGGGGATTTTCCCTTAAGAGAACTCTCAAATAAATCAGGCACATATTCAACCAGAAAGGTTTTTCTTTAAAAGAAATAAAAATGAGCAAAAAGCATACACAGATAAAAAAACACATGCAAGGCTAGCTCAGAGAAACACAGGGAGGAAAGGGGAGAAGTGATTTCAGGGAAGACCGATAATTACCAATCTTAAAGGAAGAGATCTGCAGAAGCAGCGAAATGGCCAGTGTTTCATGATGAGAAGAAGAAACCCAACAAAGTGGGGTTGTGGGAGAGGATCCAGGTCACAACAAACATGCTGCACAGGAGGCTGGGTGCTCTTGATATAGGGCAAAACATACCCTGAGGAAGGTTGATGTATTTGCCAGAAAAACAACAGCCTGATGGGCTTTCCTAACATGGACAAAAGGGGTGAAAGGAGATTGAAGACCCTGCAAGTATTGGATGGGAAGAACTAATGGGTTTGGTTAATAGAACTGATTAACTGTTGCTTAATTATGGTAAGTGGGTGCAGAGGAAATAAGGTTGGACTTGATGAGATTGGTTCAACAGAAGTTAAGCAGGGTCGACTCTGGCAAGTACTTGGATGGGAGACCTCTTTGAAATACCAGAGCCAAGGGGCGGGGGCCAGGCTTTATTCAGCTACCTTTCTGAATACCCTCTATGCCCCCAGTAGGGTTCAGTCACCAAAGGTGCACAAGACTTCCAGGTACATACATACATTTTTTAAAAATAGCAAAAAATTAGCACACTTGGGGCACTCCCCAGGAGTGCAGAAAAATCTTACATGTTTACAGAGGATACTCAATCCCCTCAAAAGTAAAAGAGCATTCCCTGAGCATGAGCAGAGAATGCATTTACCACTGGGAACTGGCAGCTGGGTTCGCTGCTGTTGCCGGTGTCGGGGGGGGGGAGAGCCTTGGCAGGTCCAGCAGCTGGGAGCTGTGCAGGGCTCACCACCATTGCTGGTGTTGGTGGGTGGGGGAGAAACCTTGGTGGCCTAGTTGTTGGGAGTCACACAGGGCTCGCCACAATTTCCACGGGGGGAGCCGTGGCAGGCTGGGTGGCTGGGAGCCATGCAGGGCTCGCCACCATGGCTGTTGTGGGGGGTAGAAGCCTTGGTGGGCCAGGCGGCCCCACCTGCTGGGGTCACCTGCAGCTACCTCCTCCTCTTCTTCCATGTGGAACTCCTGCTGCTTCAGCAGGCTGGGCACCTGGGAGCTGTGAGGAATACTCCCCCCTCCGTGAGTATCGCAGGTCCCCGCTTCGCAGTGTCCCATAATTATGCATTTCTCCGGGGCGTGGAGGGGGGCATTAGCCAGCCAGCTGCTTCTGACTCACCTTCCCAAATACTTGCCCAGGCTTGTTTCTCATGGACTTGCATCCGTTTTGTTTCATTTTTGGACCAGGCACTGTCCTATACCATGATATTAGAAAGGTGCTTATTGTTGCCTCTACCTATTAAAACTGCCCCTTTGTGGGAGGAGGGGTCTGACCGATAACACCACAGCCGAGGACCAGCTTTGCACCCAAAGGGTTCATCCCTGCCAACTCCATTTGGAAGGATTTCTGCTAGCTGTGCTGGGAAGGGTCTCTGCCAATGGACAATTCTAAGCCAATGCAGCTTCATGAGTTGTCTTTGTTGAGATCGGGCACACTGTTTCTGTTTCTCTTTTGAGTACAGTATTCGCTGCCTTACTTACGGGAAACCAAAGGAAACATCATCAGCATGGGTAGCATCGCTGGTATGCTTGGGAAGGAGGATAGTGCGTCGTATGTCTCAAGCAAGGTAATCGTGACCCAAGGACAGAATCCCTTGTTTTCTTAATGCTGCTCTTGAGCTGGCAGATGAAGGTCTGCACAGCATGGAGACAGCCAGTGATATTGGTCGAATCTGCATTTGTCTTTCCCACCAGTGTCCCAGCCTTCTGACTCTGTCTTCAAAAAAGCTGTCTACATTTGGTTTCGTTTTCACAGCTCAACAGAGCTAGCATACTGTTGCATGTCTGCATGTGTTTATCACCTTCTTGTGGCGGCTCCACTGTCATTGCACCTCCGCACTGGTTTAAATGAATCTTCTCCAAAGAACGTTCAAACAAGCATAGAGAATGATGGCGTCACAGCAGCACAAAACTGACTTAGAAATGCAAGTGCAGATTTGACCAGTGTCTCCACTCTCTCTGCTTTGCAAATTTTCCTCTCTTGCTCCCAAAAGGCACAGGAGGAGATCCTGTTGGTATTTTTTCAGGTCAGTTGTCAATTCTCAGATATGAGTCTAAGACCAGTCTGTAACCAGTAAAGGATTTATGGAAAGTCTGTTTGCTTTCTTCCCTTTATCAGACTGAAGAAGCCTCAAAGGGAAAAAAAAATCTGGCATCTTTCACCCTTACCTGAGAAAACCAAACCACTTAGAGTAAATGGAATGCCCTCTCCCTTGAATAGAGGCTTCATGGGAAGGTTATTTACAAGGTGATATACAACAACAACAGTACAGCACACAGTAAAAAGTAGCAAAGAATAACAAAAAAACACCTGTGAGCTGAATTTCCCACAAAATATTCACAAAGGAGAATTCATCAAAGCGAAATGCATATAGTGTCTGGAATAAATCCATATAATCCATCATAGGAAAATGCAGAAGCCAAAGAATAAATATACAAGATAAATATCCAAAAAAGAAAAGTCCAACACTTTTCCTAGTTAATTTTCCCAGTGTTTCAGACTTCTGGTCCTTCATCAGGAACAAAGAACAACTACTGAGAGTCTCATTCCATCCCCTTTTCAGATAATGCTTTTGTATTACTTCAGCATTGGACAAGGTCTCCTTAGCTCTAACCTGCACCCCTAAAGGCTGCTTCAATCTATCAGGACCAACCCTATTCAGAGATGAGATGTCTGGCCCACCACCTCATCTCCTATCTTCACTGGGGTTGCCAAGATTGAGTCTAGATAACTGTAAGGCACCGTACATTGGTCTGCCCTGTACTTCACCGAGGGTTGTCAAGAGGCCTTGAGAAAAATGGCTTGTCCTTTAATAGAAGTTGAGTAACAGCATGGATTGTGGGCATTATTTATGTCCATATCATTAAAAAATATCCTTCTCTTAATACACATCAGACTGTAAGAGGAGGAGGAGGAGGCTGAGCCATTTCTGGACAGTTGGCAACCCTGCTTGTTGCTCATTTCTCTTGCAGGGCGCTATAATTGCAATGACCAAAGCCCTGGCCATCGATGAGAGCAAATACGGAGTACGAGTCAACAGGTGAAAGTGATTATTCTCCATACAGAACCCTCAATATGAAGTGTCCTTAGCAGAATACTCCCAGGAAAGAAAGACTGGTCCTCCATACCCCAAGGCTCCAGGCAAGCTTACAGGCAAAGTTTTCGCTAAAACAAATAAAGAGATAATAGAGGGAGAACATAATAACAACAGGGAACTGGCACTGTAAGAGTCTAATATCTAGACAAGTGGGCTGGGTTACTTTTTCTTGAGAAGGTATAAGTGGTCAAAAGTCCCCATATTTTTTTTCCCTTTCCCATATTGCTACTTGTGAGCACAGAAACACAAAAAAAATAGACTAGGCCCAAAATATGATATCTTCTAGAATGAAAACTTTTGAAATGAATCCCATTATTTTCAAATCTACTGGAATAATCCGATGTTCCTTAAGACCATGCATAGGACGTACTTTTAAATGTAAAACTGTACTTTAGCATCTGTGATACCACTAGGATGGCCAGCTCTGGGTTGGGAAATACTCGGAAATTTGGGGGTGGAGCCTGGGGAGGGGGGACCTCAGTAGGTTCCACCCCCCCAAAGCAGCCCGTTTTCTGCAGGGGAACTGACCCTTGTCTTCTGGAGGTCAAGTGTAACAGCAGGAGTTCTCCAGGTGCCACCTTTGATGCTGGCCACCCTAGATGCCACCAAAGCACCAAAACCGGAGAACCTGGAGATAGAGAAGGTGCGGAGGGGTGTCTCCATACTAGCGGGTCTCCCCCAGATGTGCAGAAAAGTACAGCTTTGTCAGTTAACTAGAAGAAGATTAAGAGACTGAGGGGATACACTAGCTTCAAAGAGAACTGACTCTCCTCCAGGCAGCCCAGAATGTAAAGAGCAGCTTAGAGTTAGTCAAAGGGGGAAAATGAGACAGGGTGAGGAGAAGACCTCCCACTAAGAATCATGGAGAAGGAGATGTGGTGACAGAGATAATACTTTCAAGTTGTATAGCACCCCCCCCCCAGTAATTCCTTTCAGGCCCTCAGCTTGTACAACTAACCCTCAGGTCCTTTAAAAATGGATTTAAAAAGAGATGTTTGCTACTGCTTTTTCTTGCGCCGTGAACAAATGATTCAGTTCCTTGTGGACTACAGTCTCGGAGCCTGCATTTCATGCTGTATTTTCCTGGGATGTATAAATGAATAGTCATGCTGAGGGGCTGAAACAGTTTATATAGTGTGCTAAAAGCTAAGGTTGTCGTGGAAGTTGATATCTTTCTAGCCATAATAAGAAAGACACTTCTTCAAAACTCATTCACTTGGGGTCATATTTCTTGATGGTCCATGGTAACCCTGCCCTTTTTAAATGTCCAAATGTTTTGAATCCTAGCATCTCACCAGGTTATATCTGGACTCCTTTGACGAAAAGGTTCGCAAATCAGTCACCGAATCCTGAGGCGACAATACAGAAATACACCTATAGTCAGGCAAGTGTGTTGTGGGGAAACTGGAGTGGTGCTGCTGCAGATGATGGGTTCTCCTTCAGGTGGCCATCCTCGGGGCGGGTTCAATCAGATCATAGTCACAGTGATGCATGCCTTCGTTAGATGTAGACTGGACTACTGCATTGAGCTCTGAATGGGGCTACCCTTGAAGAGTGTCCTGAAGCTGCAGCTAGTGCAGAACAAAGTGGCTAAACTGTTGGTCAGGACTAGCTATCTAGAGCATGACACCCCAATACTATAGCATTTACACTGTCTAGCAATCTATTCCCAAGCCCAATTCAAAGGGCTGTTTTCAACCTTCAAAGCCCTCCTGGGTTGGGACTGGAGAATCTTCTTCCAAATGTTCCTGCAGGGGAATTAAGATCCGAGTGTGAGGTTCTCCTTACTGTCCCACCAATCAAAGGAGCTCTTTTGGTGAGTACTAAAGAGAGGGCATTTTCAGTGGCAGCCCCACAATTCTAGAACAAACTCCTCCCCAGGGAGGTGTGCTTGGCCCCCTCACTTTCAGTGTTTAGGAAGTAGCTGAAGACTGCATTTGATTATGTTACTTGCAGGCCAAAATTGTGATTCTTTTGTGTGTGTGTGTGTGTGTGTGTTTTTTGGACTTTATATATTCTATTTTATGTAATTTACCTATATTGTAAGCCATTGAGCACTGTAAGGAAGAAAGGTGGCTAATAAATGTTTTATTATAAATGTCCATGCATGCATAGAATCGGGCCAATTAGACCCGGGGGGAAAGGGGAGCAAAGCATTGGTGCGGAATCACCCTAGGTGACAGTAGCCAGGTGAAAGCTGCAGCTCTGGAGGGTGGAGAAACAGAAGTCCTAGCGTGGCTGCTGAGGGTGGGTGCTGGTAGACTTCAGCTTCTCCTGTGTAGGAAGAAGCATCTCTGCTGGGTACCCTCCCCTCCCCAAACCCTGCCTTCCCCAGGCGCTGCTATGTCTCCCAAGCTAGAACTGGCAACCCAAGTTCTACCACATCTAACATCGTAACAATAAGGGCTGTGCATACAAAAATTGAAAGTTAGAATTCTGCAACCAGGAAATTCTGCCCCCAATCAGCTTCAGCTTCTGAGAACTAATAATTTTACCTGACATCCGAAGAGTATAGAATACTACATTTCTCTCCTTTTGTGTATTTATAGTTTATGGGACGTCCTGGGACCCCCGAAGAAGTGGCATTGGGTGTCCTGTTCCTGGCTGCAGATGGTACTTTCTGCACTGGTTTGAATCTTGTCCTCAGCGGCGGAGCTGAACTCGGCTTTGGGAGGAAGAACCAGGTGAAGCCTGAGCCAAGTGGGGGTAGGAACTCACAGGGTTCCTCCAGCAAAGAATAGGACTGAAAATAGGAGAGGAAATAAAAGCTAAGAATACAGCTGGCATTGGCTGATTCTGCAATGACTTTTCCCTCTCTTGTTTTACGAAATCCACATTGGAAAAGGAATTCCCATCTGCATTGCATGCTGCTTTCAGTTCCTTTGATCATCAGATTTTATGGTACCCTCCACACTCCATGCCACTTTCACTTTCTTTGATCATCGGGTTTTATGGTACCTTCTGCATAGATTTATGGCCATTCGGGGGTGACTTTGCAGTCAGTACAGCACTTGAATGTGGTTTTGAGCTGCACTTTCCCTTCCCAGTTGAGAAAATGTGGAGTGAATGCTAGATGCAGAATCATCCAAAGATGGAAAGTCATCCTTCCAAGAAGAAGAGCTCCACAAAGGTGTTGTAGCCAAAGAAAACAAAGCAAGAGACATTTAGCATTGGACTAGGTGGACTACTCAGCAATGAAACTCACTGGAGGCCCTTGGGCCAATCACAGATACACAACCTAAGGCTGCCACACAGGATGTTGTGAGCAGAAAGAGGTTTCTTCTTTTCAAACTGGTCTTTCACTGATTACTTAAGTATTGGTTTCATTCACATCAGATATCGGGGGGGGGGTCATGCACTTCCACCCCATGGACAGCTCCAACTGCCCATTTCCACACCTGAAGCCTCTATTAGAGGGGCAGGACATTCTTCCCGAGGCCCATTGGCCACCCTGCTTCCTGGGATTCCAGTCCTGTAACATCTGAGGGGCAAGTAGAAATTCAGCATGTCTACCGGTCCCAGAATGAAAGATGGCAGCGCCATCTTGGATTCAGCTTCACCTGGTCCAGACTCTGATAGTGTAAGCGAGATTGTCTGTTCTCCATTCAGGCTTCATTTGGTCATATGAATGTGCCTCTGGACAATGAGACCATGAAATGGGCGAACTTCATTAAATGTTTCCAGTCGATGTTTTCTGCTTACTTCCTCCTGACTAACAACTGTGCCTTTTCTTATCTCAAATCCCATCATTCAATAAAGACGCACTTCAAAGAAAAGAGATGTCATAAAGGTGTTGTGGCTGTTTGGCTTTAATAGATGAAAATGAGTTTTGCATCAGGACCTCCCCATCCTGGTTGAGTGGGGTTTGGTGCCCTCTCCCTGGCCTTACATCTTCGTTTCCCTGCACCTCCAAGCTCTCTGCTTGGATTCATTTGCTTCTCCCCGTTAACTCTCTTTTCATTAGTTTATGGGCACCTTGTATGAAAACTCTATTCAGAAAACAGGTACAATTACATAAAGGAAACACATACGCTGAGATACAAGGGAATACAATGACTACTTGCAAGAAAATGTGAATGAGAAAATGACAAAAGCCCAGAATGACAATTGGGCTGGTGTTAGCATGCCCTCTGGTGGGGCAGCCACCGGGGCCAGTGTTTCCTGGCAGGGTACACTGCTGCCGGCCAGCATCTCCAACTCACTCAGTGCCTAGTGCTGCTGCACCCACCATCCTTGCTGCGTGCCCTGCCCGGTGCCACTGGGGAAAGTTCTGAAGGCAGCTGTGAGCAGAGATGGTGGGACAGCTTATCAGCAGACAGGGCAAAGAGACACACTAGGTGGGAGACCTTCAGGTGGGTGTTGGCGCATTAGTGCTTGGTGATGGGCAGAGGAAGGAGCGGGCCTGGGAACTGTCTGCCCAGGCCTCCCCAGAAACCTGGAACCGGCCCTGAATGACATCAGTGAAACCTGCCAGGGCCTGGGAAATAGTAACAAGTGGGGTACACAGTAGAAACCAGAAAGAACCAAAAAACTTTGTGCTGAACAATGAACAATAAGAATATGAAGAAATTTTTCAAACCAGTGTCTGTATAATTTGTAAGCAAGTTAAGTACTATTATATAAAAAATTACCTTCTATAAAGAGAACCGTAGTATTAAGCAGTCCATATATGAAAATCCTAGCATTCTATCTATGGACTGCTTAATACTATGGTTCCCTTTATAGAAGGTTATTTTTGTATACAATGGTATTTAACTTGCTTACAAGTAATACAGACACTGGTTTGAAACATTTCTTCATATTAGTCTCTATTGTTTATTATTTAGGGCCAGGGAAATGGCAGCCAAGCATCGTGTTTAATTTAGGAGGGGGGGAAACGGGCTCACACCCATATAGAAAAAACTGTACAAGGTGATCAGAAGTAAAGAACAGGTGGGAGTGCATATTGCAGAGGCTATTCCAGAACTGGTGAACCACCTTCAGCTGTGTAAATTTTTCCCATTTTTTGCATGCAAAATTAAAATGTAATGCTTCCCATCTCCAAGAATTGGGATACCTTTGAGAATCCTGGCCCCTCTTCCCTTTTCTCACCATGGTCAAGTTGACTGTGTTCCAACCATTATCCTGCATTGAAATGAATTGACACCTAATTATTTGATATTTTAAAAAAGGAGAAATAAAATGTAAAGATTAATTGAAAGTATATTCACGTATCATTGCCTAGTGAACCCACTGATGGGGGGGAGAGCGGCTATTTTGAATTCAGTTCCTGGCACTAATTGAATAAAGATGACATACGTAAAAGTGTGTGAAAATAAACTCCGTATGCAGTACCCTCATCCATATTTCTACAATAGGCCAAGAAGATATTATGAAAGTATTGGCAATCCTAGTCTGCGTGTGCAAATGAGTGGTTCTTCAGGACCACTTTCCTTTGTGTAATTGATCCAGCTTGTTGTATGCACAATGAAAATATAATGTTTCCCATCTCTGAGACTTGGTGTACATTTGAGAATCCTGCCCCTTCCTGCATTTTTTCTTCATGGTGAAGTTCATTTTGTGCTCCCACTGCTAGCCTGCACTGAAGTAAAGGGACACCTAATGATCTACTTTTAAAACAGGAAAGGGGGGGGGGAGGAATTGACTGAAAGTATATTCACAGGTCATCCCCTAGGGAACCCACTGATGGGATGGAGTGAGGAGGACCATAATGCCCTCTAAGCTGTGAACATTTTAAAAGGCAGTTCAGGGATTTCTACTGTGCTAGGGTGTACAACATTTTAAAAGGCAGTTCAGGGATTTCTGATTCAGGTCACAAGGCATTTCCTCCCCTCTATTGGAAACAATGGAGGATGCGGGTACCTCCTTCTGGGTCCCATAGAATTGGACCCCCTGGTCTAATCTTTTTGAAACTTAGGGAGGGGGCAAGGTTTCAGGACAGGTATCTACAGCTATGCTGCAAATTTGGTCCCTCTACCTAAAAAATAGTTCCCCCCAGAGACCCAGATATGCCTAGATTGATTCTCCATTATAGCCTATTGGGCCTATTGACTATAATGGCTCCCATAGGCTACAAGGGAGCTGGGAAAAACGAGTTTGTTTGCACAACCCTATTATGCTTTTCAGTATGATTTGGACGCTGCCTTGAGTCACAGGGGAAAGTGGCATATAAATATTTGAATAAATAAGTAGTTTGGGCAGGTTGATAACATTTAAGCAGCTTCCTGTTTGTTAGGTTAGGCCGGGTTTGGATAGTGATTGCTCTACCTCTGATACTTGACCAGTAATGCTGGTCTAGACTCTGAATTCTTTGAGGGAATTCTTCTCAGGTTGTGCTTAACACAGTAAATAACAAGAGTCTTTTCCTTTGTTCAAAAGGAGGTCCATTCTGACAAACTTTTAGTCAGATGCTTCAGCCAACTACTCCTGTAGCTGAACTTCTACTTTACTGTACAGTAACCACTGCTGAACTCCAAAACAAACCTCTCAGCTGCCTATGGAGCTGCCTGGGGAGGTGGTTAGATCTCCTTCACTGACAGCTTTCAAGAAGAGGCTGGACAAATATTTGTCAGAGATGCTTTAGGCTGGTCCTGCATTGGGCAGGGGATTGGACTAGATGGTCTGCATGGCCCCTTCCAACTCCAATCATAGAAAAGAAGCAGCCTGTCACTCAAGCTCCACATTCTAGAGCAGAGTAAAATATTCACCTCCCTTCTCTAATTTTGGAGCAAACACAGGAGCTTCTGGAAAGCTCTCCTCCCTCCCGTTTTTCTTCAGCCAGTTCAGAAAGGGCCAAACCCCATGCTCCACAACAAATTAGCCACAGGCACTCCTCCCAAAAGATTAAGTAGTTGCATTGTTCCACCCAAGAGCCGATATTCCCAAAGCTCTATGTAGATTCTAGTCATTCAGAGAAACAGAGGCAAACAGCTGGCATGGCAACTTGTCTGCGTTACCCGGGCAAGGTGGTGATTGTGACTGGTGGCACTGAAGGCATCGGTCTGGGCATCGTGAGAGAATTCGGTGAGAATGGGGAGACGTGGGTATGGAGGAGGAGGCATGTTCTGTCCACAGGGGCATGGGTTGAACCTGCCAGGAAGACTTAGGAAGTCTTTCTCCCTCCGAGGGTTGCAGGGTCCCCATTGGCCACCAGTCGGGCTAGGGGGGTGGGGTTGCCAGCTCAAGGATGGGGAACGCCTGGAGATTTGGGGATGGAGCGATGCTCCCTCTAAGCTGTGGAGTCTCATGAGCAAAACTTCTACTTTGGGAGCTACTGTCATTAAAGTTGTGAGCAAGTGATTTGGCTACTGCATAAATTAGTTTGCTCTGGAGCCATATAGAGGAGTAGGCATTTACTGCCCACAGCGGCCAGGGGCCAGACTGCTAGGAATACTTAGGAAGTCTTGCTCCCTACATCTCTTATCTGGGATGAAGAGAAACTGAGAGGGAGGAAAATGTCCTCTTTCCATCCTCAGAGGCATTTTTGTCTGTCCTGGAAACTCAAAAAGGACTCATGAAGTAATGCCTTCTGACCTAAGGTCTTGTGGACTAGAGACTTTTCATCTGCCTTTGACATCCCTTGACTCTTTCTTCTGTTTTCAAAAGTAATAGGCATGTGTCTTTCAGAACTGATCACTTGCATGGAAAACAGGTTACAAGAATCATCCCTATTAGCTGTTGTTTAGGTGGTAGGACAGTTCCGATTTTCATAGCAGGCGAAGCTGCACCTGCTAAACTTCAA